GTTTGTTACAGTTTGTTTGTTACAGTTTGTTACAGTTTGTTACAGTTTGTTTGTTACAGTTTGTTACAGTTTGTTTGTTACAGTTTGTTTGTTACAGTTTGTTACAGTTTGTTTGTTACAGTTTGTTACAGTTTGTTTGTTACAGTTTGTTTGTTACAGTTTGTTACAGTTTGTTTGTTACAGTTTGTTTGTTTTGCAGTACGTGGCCTCGTCTCTCTGGATGGACGTCAGCTGGTAAAGATGGAAGAAAACTTTTAAGCCACAGAACCTTGCTGCTTGTTTCAGGAGCTTGTTTTCTTGCTGAACCTGTATTTGATAATAAAATAAAGAAGCATGAAGCTGAGCGACAGATAAGAAGGTTTTTATGGGTCCAGATGTGTTTGTCAGAAGATGCTCTACTCCAGTTTTAACGAGACGACAGATGTTGTTCAGTCACTTCCTGTTTGCTGCCAAATGTTTGAAGTGATCTGACTGAACCGTCCTCAGCGTTTCATCAGGATGAACGGCTCTCTATTAACCCCGCCCAGCCCCCGGGCCGCCAACTCCTCCCCTTTACCTCCCTCGCCTTCCCCGTCACCATCCCCGCCGTCCCCCTCTCTGCTGCCCATGTCCTCCTCCAGGCCCCCCCCTCTCCCACCTCTGGTGAGCTCGCCACCTCAGGCTCATCCGTCTTCTCTGTCCGACACCCCCACGCCGTCCCCCTCCCCTTCCCTGAGCTGGACCGAATTCTGTGAGCTGCATGCCCGCGTCGCCGCCGGTGACTTTGCACGCCACTTCCGGGCGTTTCTCCTGGAGAACCCTCACTACACCACAGACTCTGCGGCCGCCTTCTGCCGCCGCTTCACCGACCGCTTCGTGCGCCACTTCCAGAGCGAGCTGGAGGGGGGGCTCCCACCGAGCTGRGCCCCGGGCCGTGACGACATGGTGAGCTGGGCTCCCCCGTCAGACGCCACCTCCCTGGAAGAAGAGGCGGTCTCGCCTTTGTCAGGAACCGGGGGGGCGGGGCTACCGTGCCCCCCTTTAACCACGGCGCGGGTCATGACAAAGCCCGCCCCCTCACGGCTGGTGTTGGAGAACCGCGGCGGGGACCGGTTCCAGGACTCTTATGCCCACGGCCAGGTCCTGCCTCCCTCCTCCTCCTCGTCATGTTGCTCCTCGGTGGGGGGGAACAACGGGAGGCGGGAGGAGAGGAGCGCCGTGCTCGGCCCAGGGAACGGCGAAGCTCCTGTTGAGGAAGAGGAGGACAGCTGGCTGGGCGTGGCTTCAGTGGAGGAAGACGCTGAGCCAGAGGAGGGAGAAGCAGAGTCCTCGGAGGCGGACCACGCAGACTCCGCCCACACTCCTCACCTGTCTCTTTCCTCTGTCACTCCTCCGCCCGGCTCCAGAACTACCAGCACGCCCAACTCCTCCAAAAACAAACTGAAGAAGCGCTTCTCGCTGCGCAGCGTGGGGCGCAGCGTGCGGGGCAGCGTGCGAGGAATCCTCCACTGGAAGAGCTCGTCCAGCGAGGCCCCGCCCACCCCGCTGCCCTCCAGCTACAGCTACACCATGGGGGTGCAGGACGCCAGCCTGGCCTCCAAGAGGACCTCTGCCACTCAGCCTCCCACACCCACCTCCTCCATGCCCGTGTCCCTGTCCATGCCCCTGTCCCTCCCTCACTCCTCCTCCTCCTCCCTGCCCCCCTCCTCCTCCAGCAGCGCCACCTCCTTGTCTCTGTCGGAGGCGGCTCGGGACCGCAGGAGGAGCAACGGAGAAGGAGGCGAGAAGGACAAGTGGAGCCACCGCCTGGAGAAGCTCCGATTATCACGCTCGCCCCCTCCCGTCCTCACACAGACCCCCGCCTCCTCCTCCTCGCTGCCTCCGAGCAGCGCCGCCGCCACGGGTCCTCCGAGGAGGGTGGGCCGGCTGGTGCGGGAGGGCGGAGTCAGCGTCAGCTCCTCCAGCGACGAGCTGGGTGGAAGCCACGCCTTCTCGGGCTTTTCCTTCGGCCTCCTTCATCACGGCACAGACAACACCTCCTCCTCATCGTCAGGAGCCCCCTCAGCGCCGCTCCAGCCTCTGGCCGGCAGCGGGAGCGTGCCCTGGAAGGGGGGCCGCTGGCACAAGTGTCGCCTGGTCCTCCGAGAGCGGGACCGAGAGGGGGGCGAGCGGGGAGAGGACTACTACCTGGAGTTCTTCATCCCACCTAAAGTAAGACTTTACAGTGATGGAACTAATGATTGTTAAATAATCCATTAATCTCTGGATTATTTTATTGATTCATCGGCCAAATCATTAAAACACTTAATTACATAAATATGAGTAGATATAAATTAATTTAATTCATGTATAAGTTAGGGATGCAAGTTATTAATTAATTAATTAATTAATTAATCTGAAGTTGATATATCTTATAGATAAGCAGCCATTTTCTTAAAAACCAGAGTTTTTTCTTGAATCAGAGGGTCTTTTCGTTACATGAAGGATTTTTATAATAATCTGCTGATTTAACAGTAGTGCATTTTGCCAGCTGTAAAAAATACTGACTGAAAAAAGTGTGTTTCTCCTACATGAAACATAACATAAATTTAATAGGTTCCTGAATGAGGAAAATAGATTAAAAMAATAAAATKTGATTTTTAGATGTAAAACTAWTAWTAATTTATWATAATTASAATWGATTTACATTTAACATTTATAATTTTTCTCTAATTCTTTAGTTTTTGCTTCCTTGTTGGTTCTGTTTGACTAAAACATTGTTTGACCCAGTAAACGGTCCTTTAAAAAAATTAAATTATCATATACTTTTACCATAACTTCAGATCTACTTGGCCTAACAACACAATTTAAAAACTGGTTTAAAGTTTGAAGTCTCTACTTTTTTACTCAAGGTCTCAGAGTGGGCGGAGCTTTACAGGTAGAGTTTTTTTCTTCCTAAACTTTATTTAGTCAGCCAGCATTGACAACACTCAGCGGGTGYCGTAAACAGCTCAGCGACARGGCGKGGGACACAAAAATRGCYCGACACAARGAATCAGTAATGAAACTCGTTGCTAACGCTTTTAATAATCAATTTTATTGATTCGTTGTTGCAGCCCTAGCTGGACCCTGGTTCTGGTTCTGGTTCCTCCTCATCACTCTTTAAATCCTCTCTCTTCTCAGTCATCCAAGCCTCGGCTGACTGTTCCCTGCTGCTCCATCGTGGACGTGAGGAGCACCACGGCTCTGGAGGTCCCTGACAAGGAGAACACCTTCCTGCTGCAGGTAGAGGGGTCTGCAGGTACCTGGACCCAGAACCAGATCAAACGGGTCTTTATTTAAACTTCTTTATCGTTCCCAGCTGGAGACGTCGACGGAGTACGTGATCGAAACACGAGATGCTGTTCAGATGAGGGCGTGGCTTAGCGACATTAGGAACGGCATCTGTCTCAGGTGAGCAAGGATTCAGTCCTGGGGGGCGTGGCTTGTGGCTCTGGTTTCTCAGGTCCGGTCTGAGGGTCTAACATCCTTCTGTCTGCTGCAGTGAGCAGGACGACGCTGAGGTGGGGTGTGGAGGTCCGCTGGACATCAGCGGGACGCCAGAGACCGCAGAGCGTCTTTCTCAAGGTGAGTGTTGCTCGACAAGTGGGCGGGGCTTTTCTTTTAAAGGTGAAGTCCTGTAGAGTCTGGGTCAGCAGGTGTGCAGAAGGTTTAACCGGTCTCTGTGAATCTGTTTTTGTCAGTTTGTTACGGAGGAATCGGAGGCTCCTCGCCCCTGATGGACCCCCTCCCTCCGGAGCTCCCTCCTCGAGCTCCCCTCGACGAACCGGATGCCAGGATCCTCGGGGGAGGCGGGGCTAGTCTGGGCACACCTTTTGCTGAGACCCCCGATGCTACAGGTGAGCTGTAGAGATGAGGCATGCTAAAAGTAGAACCTGGACCGGTTCTGATGGTCCGTTTTACTGAAACTCCTCCCCCTGCAGGCTCCTTCCTGTTCTCGGACGTGGGCGTGGCCGAGGCCGTGGAGCACCCGCTCAGCGAGTGTCAGTGGTTCCACGGGACCCTGTCCCGCCTCAAAGCGGCCCAGTTGGTTCTGGCTGGAGGCCCGGCGAGCCACGGTGTGTTTCTGGTCCGGCAGAGCGAGACACGGCGTGGAGAATACGTCCTGACCTTTAACTTCCAGGGCAAGGCCAAGGTGAGACCGGACTGATGAGCTAATGGCTAGTCTGAGCAGACTGCTGGTCTGGACTCGGTCTCATCAGTTGTCACACTTTGTGTCTTTAACGCTCTTCAGCTGAACATTCATGATAAATCAACAGAAATGTCATTAAAGGAGCAGCAGCCTGAGGCGGTCCTCCTGGACTGAAGGTTTTTACAGGACATGGAGGGTTTCATGTTGTTGTTAGTTTGTCCAGCAGTGTGTTAAAGACACAGCTGTGTGCTCACATGAAGGATTTCCATCTTTTGTTGTGAAACTTCAGGTTTGTTGCGAGTGGACCTAGTTTCATCCTGAAACACAACCAGACTAGGGTTGGATATAATCGTATCATGTGCACTTAATCATCAGAAAAACATTAATCTATTATTTTTGTCACTTGATGATTAATATGATTAATGCAGCAGTCAGTCCACTCACTGCTCCTCTCTGCTTCAAATATGACCAACATTAAAAAAGTTCTGTAATTTATCAACAGTTTAAAGTTTGATGTACAGCCTGAAGTCTGTAATTATGACACAGTTTGGAACAGGTTTGTATGAAGAGCAAATCGTTCCCACAAACTTGGTCATGTCTAAGTGTGTCCAGGGATTAATCATCAAATTAATTGTTATCAGCTAAATACCACAATTAATCCTGATTAGTTTTTTTTTGCCAATATTGCCCAACCCTAAACCATATGTTGGATCCCTCATACATCCTCAGGTCTCGAACCGGTGGAACCGATGAACAGACAAGCAGACAGACCTTTACTTGTTTTCCTTTATTTGCACAGGGACAAGTTACACTTAACAAATACACAACACTATAACATTTATGGCCTTAGCTAGTTTGCAATGCTCGTCCCCAGATGGGCTTTTAACAATATAAAATTTAAAAACAAAACAACGTGAAAGATAAAATATCATACAATACAAATCCTAAAAACATTTAAAATGTATCCTGTTAGTGATGACACCAAATCTGGTTATTTTTAAGAAACTCCTTCAGTTTTAATGTAAAAATGTTCCAGTCTGGAATCAGCTTCAAACCCTCCACATTTTAATGCCTCACACAGAAAATGCTGTTTGACAAAAACAAGTTTCACAAAAAGGTGCCTTACAGTTCTACCAGAACCAGTTCTGGACTCCCGTCCCTGTTCTCGGGGGACACAGGTCTGACTTTATGAAGAACAGTTTCGGGTTGAATCCACTTTGATCTCTGGTCTTGGACCCCACAGCACCTCCGTCTGTCCCTGAACGAGGACGGTCAGTGCCGAGTCCAGCACCTGTGGTTCCAGTCCATCTTTGACATGTTGGAGCACTTCCGGGTCCACCCCATCCCCCTGGAGTCCGGCGGTGCCTCTGACGTCACGCTCATCAGCTTTGTGGGCGCCACCGCCGTTCGACAGCCAGGTATGAAAACTGTTTGGGTCAGCTTTAGGTTCAGGTCCGGTCTGGATGACCAGAACCTGAACTGGACCTGGTSTGAGTGTGTTTCATGCAGCCATCAAACCACATCACGTCTGTGTTTGTGGAGACTCAGTCATCCAGGTTCTGGAAGTCTTGAACAGAACCCAACTGGACTTTTCAGCTGTGTTCTGTCTCATGTAGCTGAAGGCTAATTAGCCTCTGGTTCTGCTCGACTCGCTTCAGTTCTGGAAGCCCCAGCTGGGATTTAAGACCCCACTTCATGAGACTGAACAGTAACGGGTCTATGATGTTCTGACTCTGGGAACGGGAAGTCCAGTTGGGTTTGGATTCACATCGTCTGCTTATTCAAGTTAAAACGAATCAGTTTCTGTAAAGAAACAGTTTCAGTGTTTGAAGTGAATCCTGAATGTGTGGTTCTGGACCCAGCAGCCTGATCCATCTGTGTGACCCATCTGACCTCTCTGTTGTTGTCTTGTATCCGTTGGCTCATCCCCTGCAGGCCGGGACAGGGCGGGCAGTCGGCCTGCGGTCTGTGATGTCATCACCACGCGCCATCCCGACTCTCCATCAACCCCCATCTCTGACTGTGTGTAAGTGCGACCGGACTCAGCTGAGAGGAGCGAGTGTTGGGCAGTGAGTGGCTGAACGACAACACATCTCTCATTGTAACCCCGACTCATCCCAGCAGGAGGTCATGTGACGAGTTAGACCCAGTAAGAACTGATCAGAGCCAGTAAGAACTGATCAGAGCCAGTAAGAACTGATCAGACCCAGTAAGAACTGATCAGACCCAGTAAGAACTGATCAGAGCCAGTAAGAACTGATCAGAGCCAGTAAGAACTGATCAGAGCCAGTAAGAACTGATCAGAGCCAGTAAGAACTGATCAGAGCCAGGAAGAACTGATCAGACCCAGTAAGAACTGATCAGACCCAGTAAGAACTGATCAGACCCAGTAAGAACTGATCAGACCCAGTAAGAACTGATCAGACCCAGTAAGAACTGATCAGACCCA